TTTTTTTTTTTAATTTAAACTATATATTTGTCAGTATTACATATAAAAAAAAATGCAAAAGTACATTTTTAAATTGATTTTAAAAAAGTAACGGAAAAGTAACGAAAAGTTATTTTTCAAGTAACGGTAACTGTAACGAGTTACTTTTAAAAAGCGATAACTGTAACTGTAACTAGTTACATTTTTTACTCGGTAACGAGTAACTGTAACTAGTTATTTTTAAAAAGTAACTTTCCATTCCCTGAGTCTATTTTATACTTTTAGTCGTTTCTTCGGCAATATCAAGGCTAGAAAATATTCTCTTAAGTAAATCGTATTCAAAGTAGTGATATTTAGAATCATGCATATAGTTTTTATAAAATGTTTATAAAAATAATAACGTACACGCTCAATTATACGTCGCGCCACGCCCCGTGTTGCGCCATCCCTGATCAACGCTCATTCGTTGGTTTAAAGTTGCTCTCATTTAAAAGTATTTTGAACGCAATTTTGCCAAAGGAATAACTTAATAAATTGCTTCTTCTGGTACGTACAATCACGCTGTGCAATCCGTATCCGCGAATTCTGGGACACCCTACTGTATATCTGTGATATAATTGCAGTACACATGATATAACTGAGTATAACAATCTTCGTACATGGTAATGATTACGGTTGGAACATTACTGATGCACGCTACTCTTTTCCACGGAAATTTCTGCAAAATTTCCGTGGAAAACAGTTGTACCGTTATCGTACCTAGATCCGATGTACACACCTAAGTTCGTTGTATTTATGGTATATCTTTTGATCTTGACAAAACATGTCTTGAAATCGTGCCTCATTTCCCTAGTTTTCCATCGTCACGTATGGCATTATCTTAATCGTAACATTGATCTAGGCACATCGCTTGTATCTGGTTCGAATGAAATTTTTAGAGACTTAAACGGTGCGGCGTTGATAAATTCGCAACTGTACATTTTCTCGGATGAAAAAGTTTATGTAAAATATTAATCGAGTTGCACGAACACAACAATATATAATTAAAATCGACATGATGTTAGAAAATTAATTTTAAAAAATGTAATCCCATGGCAATATTTTTCAAAGTTTTATTTTTGGAAGGAGAGAAAAAGTTGGTCCATCCTTCCTTAAATTTATCTCTTTCCTTGTTAGCAAGAAACATCCAAATTATACACACGAGCTTAATCGATGATACAGAGTGGACAATATATTACATACATCACGGGACAATATCCTACGACCTTGAAATGAAATATTCGTGGTCTAACTTTTCCGCGGATGCTCAATCAACGAGGCGGATTCCGGAGAATCGTCTGATGTACACACACATTCGCAGCCGACCCAGTATCGCTATCGAAGGAAATGGTCGCACACATGCACCGTGTAACGTTATTAGATAGTACAGTATTAATATGTGTATATTTTTGTCGCAATGTGTTTGCAAAAAAAAAAGTATATGGTTACTGCCGATGAGAGTATGCATACTTAACGATTTTTTTGTACATTTTTAATGATCTTGCTGATGTTAGTTTATTCAATAGCCATACCTGATTGTGCGCGATATAATACTACATTATTGGCAGTGATATTTAGATGAATCATTAATGGTTTTGTATATATACTGGCTACTATATGTTAGCTTCGCGAGAGAGTGTACTTATGCTATCAATTACGTAAGAAGCAAAAAGTAAGCATCGATAAAGACTTTCCTGTGACAAGCCGTAGTCATAAATTCTATCTGTGTGGAGTATTTACGGCAATTTCGACCCTTTCGTGATACGACGGCGAAGTAACGCGACGAAGTCAAAAGAACTTGAAATAACTTTGAAGGAACTAGCTTCATATCGAGGCAGAGCTTGTATTTGAAACATTATTTTTTATAAATATGATTGAGTTAGACATAGATTGGCAAGATTTTTAAAAATAGCTATATTTATTCCGAAAATTAATTTTTATTTGCAAAAACTCTTTAAATATATATTTTTCTTGTATCGATAAATATAATACGATCTTTATTTAAAAAAATTGAATTTAATTTTGTTTTTTTGGAATAAATTGGATCAATTAATTAATCAATATTATTTATTCTATAATTATGCCATACGTCACGCATGATATCGTACATGTCAAATTAATCGTATTGAAAAGAAGAACGCATTTGAAACGAATGAAAACAAATATGCAGCCTATTTTTTTTAGCCGAGTG